CTAGGTCTTTTACCCTTCCATGTAAATTTTAGAATTAGTTTCTCAATATCCACAAAATAATCTGCTGGGCTTTTGATTTGGATTGCATACTGCATTAAATCTATAGATCAAGTTGTGAGAAGAACTGATGTCTTGACCATATTGAGGCTTCTTATCCATGAACATGAAATATGTCTCCATTTATTTAGTAAGTCTTTGATGTCTTTCATCAGAGTTGTAGTTTTTCCTCATATAGATCTCAAATATATTTTGTTAGATAACATTTGGCTTTCATACTCCTAAAAAGTTTATAGCTTGTTGACCCAGACAGTTTGATGCCACAATTTTGACTTGGAAACATTTTGTCAATACTTAAATCCAAGTTATCAAACTTCAAAGTTTTAGAATACCAAATGAAGTTTTTAGCAGGCACCGTCACATTTTTACCAAGAAGCTTCATGAAAAGTCTAGAGAATCATCTTATAGAGGGGCTGAAGAATGAAATGACGGTCAGAGATATCTGTTGAGGACATAACTATTTTAAATTAAACACTTTAAACTGTTGGTAACTACATGGCCCATGTCAAAAGAGCTGCATCAAGATGTGCTGTTTGGGTTACTATTGCTATGAAATTGCAAGTTGGCAGCTGGAATCTAGTCTGAGGACAAAACCCAGTGTAGCTCAAGTATTCCAGTTGGTAAGCCCCAGAACATATAAATAATTCTTGGATTCCCTAATTATGAGGGCTTCATTTCAATTTGTGCCATGAGCCAGAAGCTGCAATAATTTCTGCCCTTGCTTCTTTTCTCTCTGGTGTTGTCTGACTCTCCAATAATTATGGCACCATTTATGCTCTTCCAGCTCATGTATTTCGTATCTCCCATTGGTTTCTAAAGTGAATATTTCATGTGGATTTCTAGTATCATTTTTAGTGATTCATAATCACACCCACAAGCCAAAATTTTCCATGCTTGGTTTCAGCTCCAGCATAGTATTTTTGGAGAACTTGTTCAACTAGTTTTGGCTTTTTATGAGGCCAAAAAAATAATCCAACAACCCACAAGCAAAAACAATAATAAATGGGTTGATAGGTGCTATGATTTAACCATGTGTTTTGTTCTCACTAAGAAAATCTTTTGAGTAATTTTGGAAAACAAATTAAAAAGTAATGAATTTCAAAGTGATTAAGGGTTGCATTTGAATATGCAGCTATTCTCTTTGTCATGATATTTCCAGTATATTTAGACCTAATTTTTAAAATGTAAAATCTTGGTATTATTTACAATGAGAATGTATTCCTATAAATTTCCTTCCCGTGACTATAGTAGTTTTAAATGCATGGGGTTAGATTTTAGCTCAAGGTATTCATTGTACGTAATTGTCCATGGCTGGCTTTTAATATTGTAGTTTTGTTAATTAATTAATTAATTAATTTCTTTTTTTAGGAAGATTAGCCCTAAACTAACTGCTGCCAATCCTCCTCTTTTTTCTGAGGAAGGCTGGCCCTGAGCTAACATCTGTGTCCGTCTTCCTCTGCTTTATATGTGGGACGCCTACCACAGCATGGCATGCCATGTGGAGCCACGTCTGCATGCAGGATCCGAACCGGGGAACCCTGGGCCACTGAGAAGCGGAACGTGCGCACTTAACTGCTGCACCATGGGGCTGGCCCCTAGTATTATAGTTTTATAGTTGCAGATCTGTGGTTTAATGTATCTATTTCCTTTATTATTGTTTTTGTTTGTGGATTATGCTCATTTTTGTAGCACTTCCCCTTTTTTTTTTTTACAGTGATCTCTCACTGTTTTAGAAAACATACCTGGAAACCTAAAAAAAAGTCCCTGTTAATGAACATTCACTATTCATGACTTGTTTTCCATGAACTCTGCAAAGATGTGGTTTAATACTGACTAGCACACAGTTCTCAGAATATTCTGATTCTGCAGGAATTCAGCAAAGCGATTGTGATCGAGTCTCCATCTCTGTCATATTTTGACACCTGTCAAAGAATGTACAAGTCAGTGAAACCAACAAATTTTTCAAAGAGACATTTCACTCCTCAAAGAATGGTTTTGCTTAATTCGAATGCTTAAAAAAGAATTATTTCAGAATAATTCATCTCATCACCATAGCCAAGACATAGAAGCAACCCAAGTGCCCATCAGCAGATGAGTGGACAAAGAAGATGTGGTATATATATATATATATATATATATATATATATATATATATATTCAATGGAATACTACTCAGCCATAAAAAAGGACAAAACTGTCCCATTTGCAGCAATATGGACAGACCCTGAAGGTATTATGCTAAGTGAAATAAGCCAGACAGGGAATGACAAACACTGTATGATTTCACATGTATGTGGAAGATAAACAAACACATGGACAAAGAGAACAAATTAGTGGTTACGAGAGGAGAAGGGAATTGGGGGGAGAGTGAAAGGGGAAAAGGGGCACATATGTATGATGATGGATAAAAACTAGACTATTGGTGGTGAACATGATGCAGTCTATACAGATACTGAAAATAGTGATGTATACCTGAAATTTACACAATGTTATAAGCCAATATGACCTCAATAAAATAATTAAATAAAAAAAATTATCTCACCTTATAAATCTATGACAACAGCTAGATTCTAGAGACGACTAGGTTTTGTTCCTCTTAATAAAAAACCAAGAGTTTTACAACATTGAAAGGTCATAAAGTGTAGTGGGAGGGACCTCGGTTTTAAATAGCCCCAATTTCAAATTCCATTTCTGCAGCTTACTAGCTATTTGACCATAAGCAAGTCATTTAACCTAAGCTTCAGTCTCTGTCATTGGGGCTTTTTGGCTTACATGGCAATGGTGAAGATCAAATATTAGTTACTGAATAGTGGAATTAGTGCCAACACTACTCTTGGCACACGAATTGCAGTGCAAGGCTGTCTGGTTCTGACAGCATCAAGTGTCTTTTCTTCCGAATGAGGTTTACGTCTTCCCATGAGCCAGTATCATATCACATGTTGCCTGTTGTTCCACAGTACCCAAATGAGAGTTAGCATATGTAAGACAGTCAGTAAAATATTTCCTGAATTTTACTGTGGCAATCTCATGAAGAGAGAGGACCCAAGGAGGGGGCATCATGAGTTATGAGTTCTTCCCACTGTTATCATGAATTTGGGATGTGTTCATTTGTCTCTCAAGGCATCTTTTCTTATTTGTAAAACAACATCAGGTCAACTGGCTAGAGGAGCCCTGAGAACGTGTCTTATACTGAATTTACATGAGGCCTGATGAGCTTTCTCTGGAAGTCAACCAGGTCGCTTTCTGTTGCAGAAGTAGAAACAGCTTGATTCAAAGGAAATGTGTCTGTAAACCTTCTAGTCCTCTACTTCTTGCAGAGAATGTCAGTGTCTAGATGTGACAGTTCTTCATCCTTATTTATCAAAAGCTAAAAGCTGCTTTTCTTGCCAAATTAAAGACAATTATTACTTCCTACTCTTTTCTGCTTCCGCGATAGCCTTGTAGAGGTCAGGGAAGGAGCTTGCCTGTGACCCTGTGTGAATTCCCATGCTGGCTCTCAAGAGAGTGCTTAAATACAAATCAGACCCTCTTTTCTGTTAAACTCAGAATCTTACTTGATCTTGCCCATTTCAAGGTTGCAATTAGGCTGTCTTCTTATAAGTGTAAATCAAATCCATTTGAACTTTGTCTTGGGAAGACAGCAAATACTCAATACCAAATTCTCTATCTTTTCCATGGCCATTTGTATTAAAATTCTGGCAAATGCCTATTTCTCTCAGTCTGATCAGCTTCTCAGGTGTTCATCCTTTTCTATGATTTCTTATTTATAAAGCTCTCCAAATGTTCCTTTCTGGCAGATTCTGGTTCTTGATGTGAACCCAAGAAGGGGAACAGATGCAGTATAAGTGGTTTCTGGACAAACTAAAGTCCTACCTATCTCAGATTTCTCTACCTCCCCGCCCACACATCTGACAGTGGATGTATGCTGGAGTCGCTGTCCTTATCAGGGAAGTTTTCTGAGATGTTCAGATACAAGACTTGAAGGTCAGTTATTCCCAATCCCAGTTTGATAAGGACTGGCATCTCATCCTCAGCATTCATTCATTCATTCAACTAAAGTTTATTGAATAGTTACAATGTCTTAGGCACTGTGTAAGACACTTTTTCCCCTCTGTTCAATCTCTTGTACTTACTTCACGGTATCTCAGGCTCCTCCTCTTCTTTCCCCTAAGTTTCCACTAAAGTACAGTCTTGTACCACATAATGACATTTCAGTCAATGATGGACCTCATATGTGACAGTGGCCCCATAAGATTAGTACCATGTAGCCTAGTGTGTAGTAGGCTATACCATCTAGGTTTGTGTAAGTACACTCTATGATGTTCGCACAATGACAAAATGGCCCAACAATGTATCTCTCAGAATATATCCCCATCATTAAGCAATGCATGACTGTAGTATCTTATCTTAGGGATTTTGTCCTTGAAATTATTCTTTTTGACTCTAGGGTAGACATAAGAATGGATGTCATATTTCCAAGTTTGATAAGGCAAGGACCGTTAATATTAGGAATGAATGAAAGAGGCTGGTCCTTGACACTAGACCCACCAAAAAGGGAATGGACAGGATGAAATAGCCCAGCCACCTTAGCTGATGTAGAAGCTCACAGTTGTCTACATAGAATGCCCAGGAGTGCTGGTGATTTCTGTTCTCAAACCAGATAAACCAAGACTTGCTACTCTCTGGCTCTGAAGTTCTCAGCCATAAATAACTTCAGGCCTACCCTCCATGGTAGAGGCAAAGGAAAGTCCCTTACACATCCCTGAAGGTGTTTATTTTGGTAGAAACACTTAACATGAGATCTACCCTCCTAACAGATTTTTAAGTGTACAATACAGTATTGTTATCTATAGGTACAATGTTATACAGAAAATCTCTAGAACTTATTAATTTTGCATAACTGAAATGTTTTACCCATTGATTCATCTGTTCTCCTCATCCTAGATCTTCAACTGTCACCCCTAGTCTACTGAATCCATATTTTGCCATAATTTTGGCTACTCTCATGTTGGCCCTGATCATCATTGGAGTCCCAGGAATTTCAAACTCTGCTTCAAGAGAAATGTGGACACCTTGGGGAAAATTAACAGACTTTCATGGTCATAGAGCATCTACTCCTTTCAGAATGCCAGCAAATGCACACAAGAGCTCCCAAACACTTCTTACAATCAGGGGCAAGATGCCCTTCCATGCACCAAAAACCAAGGTGAGAAACAGGAATCAACTGGCAGGCCGCCCTGCCCTCCATCCAGGAGGCACCGCAGGGTGCAGCTCCTTGCTCTGTCCGGGGGAGGCTTGTGCTATGCAGCATCTGTCACAAGGCTTTGTTTCTCCACAGGTGGAAAAGCTCCTGCCAACCTGAGCAGCACAAGGCAGAGGGGAGGCAGCGGCTGACCTCCTGGGCAACCTGCAATGACAACCTGACAGCAGACCGGCTGGACTCTCCAGACTGCCGCCAGATATGTCACGGGATGCTTCTCAGGCTCAAGAATTTAATATTCTTTACAGAAAATAAAGAGTTGGATTCTGATTCTGTCTCTTTTTCCGTTGTTGTTTTTTTGGTTTTTTTTAGCATAACTCTTTTTTAAAAAAAGGAAATCTAATAGAGAAACCCAATATATAAAAACGACCAAAGTGGAAGTCCTTTGGATGAAACAGGGTGGCTAATGGAGATGGGCTGGAGCATATCTGCTTAGCTTTCTCTCCTTATCCCACCCATTTAAAGACCTCCAATTAGTTCCTTGCAATGCAGTTGGGCAAACACAAACTTTGGGCTGGATAATCTCTAATGTATCTCCATTTCAAGCTCCGATGAAGGCAAGGCTCTGCTTTTGTCATCCCTGAATCCCCAGGGCCTGGCATGATTCTGGCACATAGCAATCGTGTGTGTGCACGTGCGCGCACACGTGCACACACACACTATATACGTATATTTTTGATGAACAGATAAATACAAGATTTTTCAGATGTCATGAGATGTGTCTATCTATTTCGGATTATAGCTCTGTGTGACCAATAGAGTTGGGTTTTCAGCATTAACCTCCTCTTCTGACCATCCGCCCTGTACCTTCCCCCAACTTTTCTCTGCACACATATAAAAGCCCAGCCTTAGCTTCCCCGAGATTGCATCTAAAACACCCAATGTAAATGTCTCCCAAATGGGGAGACAGCCTGTTTACACAGGAATAATTGCTTGAGCATAGTGTCCTCCTTTGTGACAAAACTGGAAGAAAATGCTGCGTAGTCAGATTCCTTGCCTTTGCATTAGGAAAGAATTTAAAATCTCTTTCAGTCCTTTCTTTGGCCTCATGTAAAAATATAGCTTTTCTCTTCAAGCTTGGGGCTAAGTAAAAAAAAAATCTAACCCCGACTTACTCTTTCCCTGAGCTCCAAAAATAAGTCCAGGTTATTTTCAAATGTATTTTTTTCTCCTCATTTCCTTAAATCGGGGCCAGTCGGAGATGAGTGGATATTCATGGACCAGTTTGAAACTGCTGGGAAGGGTGTAAACAATACATCTCTACATTGTTCCCTTTCCCTCCCCTCCCCTGAAAAGGGGCTAATGCTAAGTGTGAATCCCACCAACTAAGAGGAGGCTGAAGGCTTCACCGGGATCCTGGGGCAAGTCATCAGGTGGCAGATTCACCAGATGCCCGCCAGCTGCTTGACTTCATTACTGTTTATCACTATGCCTGCTTCTTTTAAAAATTGTCTTTATTTAATCGCCTAATACTATTTTTATTGGCCTATCAGAATGTGGGGGAGTGTGGAGGGGAATTCATTTCATGTGTTGTGGAACATTATTATGGTAAAATATTAGGACAAGTCTATGCCTTCCCCCTTTGAAAAATAAGATACAAAACCAATTAAAGTTAAGTGATTACTGAAATGCATCTAATTAGTTATTAACTTACATACATCAAACCGCGGTGGCAGCTTTCGCAGCAAAATTCCTGTTTGGTGTTGATACAGAAGATAATTGATATCACAGAGGCCTCTGCTTCTCAGGCAATTGCTTAAGAAAGCACCTTCACAGCTCAGAGCCTTCTCTCCCTGTGGGTTGGGGCACATTTTCGTCAACCTGACAAGATCTGTCACATATTATCAGACAATTGATCACCGACTCCTTGCAAGTCTTAATCCATCGTTTGATCACAGATCAAGAAAAATTGCTTTTTATGTCTTACATCTTGACCATGAGAAAGGGGAAGAAAGCAGAGACTTAGGCTTCCGGCTCCAGCTCATTACTTTTTTGCAAATGATAGATGGGTTCACTAGGCAATTTAACTTTAAAATGATCTTTTCTCCCTTCTCAAAAAAGCAAATAGAAGGAGCCTTGCAGCACGAGCTGGGTGGAAAGGGAGTCAGCCTGCTGTTCCTTCGATATCTCCATCACGGGCGCCCATGTGCGGATGGAGGCACGTATGGTTAGTAAATACGTATTTACTTAGCATCACTGCATCTACTTCTAAATAATAGGATTTAAAGTGGACACACACAGAGAGACTAACTTGCACTCTCCGGGACATAGTTATAATCATTTTACACATTTCTTTTAGAGCACTTATGTTATATATAAAGTAATTTGAAATGACTCTTAGTTTACCAAAAAAAAAAAAAAAAAGTGAGCATTGTGTAGTGACACAGTAAAATCAATTCTAAAAAAAATTGCTTCCCCCTACCATATCCAGTTATGTTATTGTGAAAATCCTGACCTTGTGTATATAGCAGTATACATCGAGCTTTCCCAGAGTGGAGCAAAACCTAACAACGTAGCAATTAGTCCTGTTTCTAATAGTTGATTGTTATTTAATATAAAAAATAAAAAGCATCCATAATTGCCAATAAGAGAGTGGCTGAAACCTCAAGGTTCTGAGGAATTCTATTCAAGTCATCAACATGCACATAAATAGGCTGGTGATCTCCAGATAGTATTTCTAAAGTTCACAGCATACAAAGCTCCCAACTGCCTTCTTTGAGGCCAGAAAGGGAAACTCCCCAGCTGCTCACCGCTTATTTTCCCACCTCTCCTTCACTAAAAACCTCCCTGGGAATCCCTCCTTATTGTACATCCTCTGTAATTTGAAGACACAAAGAACTGAGATGCAGTCTTTGCGTGCTTAAGTAAAATGAAAGGCATTCAGAGATCTGTAATTAGTGCTTTTCCTCTGCCGTGTCAACTCGATGAGATAACAGTATTTCTAAATACTAGCCACAAAATTGTAAAGCCAAGCAGTATGTGGCTGGCCCACAAGCTTTTGTCAGTAAACCAAAAACACTATAAGGCCAGGGACCGCACCCTAACCCCTAGCACACTTTAAGTCAGGCATCAAAAGAGTGCTCCAAAAAATATTTGTTCTGGGGAAATTAAATAAGGTCTCTAGCTTGGTGAAAAGTGTTGCACCCATGTCAGTTTCCTGATTTTGATCATTGTACTTTTGTAAGATTAACATCTTACATTGTTAGGGGAAAGCGGAGGAGGGAACCATCTCCCTTTTGCAATTTCTAAGTGAGTCTAAAATTATTTCAAAATAATGTTTTCAAAATACTTGTTGAAAAGAGGATGAATCTCTAATCCTTCAGCCTTCCGAGTGTGCTGCCCATTTGAGGCACTGATGCCTCAGGGCTGCTCTGGGCAACCTCATGCACCCTTTAGTCTTGTTCTTATTGCACCTCGTTCCCAGTTGGAGCCCTTTGCCTTACTTCCAGATTCTGCTTCTGCCTCAGGTCCTCTGGATGTGCTCCTTATATTTGATCTTCCCCAAACTTTGGCTGTGAGCCCTCTGTGAAGAATTTTGGCTCAGACTTACTTCCCAGATTTACCTCTTTCCGCCACCACTGCATCTTTCTCCTGGGCCTTCTCAGCACCCAATGTCCCTTTGGCCCAGCTATGGTGTGTGCGTGCATGTGTATGTGTGTGCTGGGGAGGGGGGATGTGCAGAGGGGAAATGATAAGGGATAAGGCTGAGATTTAGTCTGTGGTAACCTGCATCTCTGACATGTATTTCTTTTTATAAAGAATAATTTCTTGCTGGGGAGAGACTTTACCTAGCTCTTCAGATCCATCAAGCTGAACTCTTCCACTTCGCTGTGTATTTTGTGAAAATGCTATTAGAGCCTTCAAAGTTTAGCTTGCTTCATATCTGTTAACATTGTGAGTGTCAAGAGCATGATCCTTGTCATCACAAATGACAGGGAGAATGGATTTCCTCGGACTACATTCAGAGGCCAAACAGCATTGTCTGTGCATTTATCTCAAACCTGATTTTCCATTGGGGAATTATTTGGGACCCTCAATGCCTTGCCGACTACGCTATTCATACAAGAGGTAGTATAGTGCAGCGGTCAACAACACGGGCACTGGGGCCATATTGTTTTGAATCCAATGTGGCTAAACAAGTTCCTTAATCTTTCTGTACCTTAGTTTTGCCATCTGTAAAGTGGGGATGATACTTGTGCCTAACTCTTAGGGATCTTGTGAGAATTATGAGTTATATTCTGAGAAGCACCAGGGCTTGCCCACGGTTGGCACTCCGTGAATGTAACTACGATTCTCTAAGGCCTAGTCCACTTTTTTCCTCTGGATGCCCCTCTACTGCCTCCTAAATGTTCAGTATGGTGACTTCTGCGTAGAAATAGGAATTTAAAAAAAATTTACTTTGAACATTTCCCTAAACTTATGGAAATAATAGAAGATAATCAATGGAGTCTCAGAAATAAGATTGGAAATTAATCAGTGTCTGAATCTACTGACGCAAACAGCGTTTGGATGAAGGCTGTAGTGGAGATGCTGCTGAGCTGTGTGGAGACCCGGCCGTGGACCCGGATCTTCTGGGGCTGGCTTTCTCCTCGTGACTCACAGCGCTTCGACAAAGGAGAGCCTGGGGCAGATTTGGGTTAGGCTACACGTCACACTGCTGAGAAAGAAAGGCTTGGAAGTATGGCTGAGTGTTTCTTTTTTTTTTTTTAATAGCAAATACAAGCTGAACATTGACACTGGCTGACCCTAGCTTCCAACTGTTAAATGTGGTGTTTAGACCCGTAAAACACTCTTACGTAGTCACATCTATAGAGTGGAATTGTCTTCAAAAGTCCCTCAGTTTTCCCAGTCTTTTCAGGGGTGAGTACTAGCTGCTGATGCTTGAACTAATGGCAGCCCGAGCTCAGGCAAACGGCGTCCAAACCATCTCAGCCCTTCGGATCAGCGATACAAAGTGACGAAAGCTTGGTGCCTGGGTCCCCTCTCATCAGCTCCGGAGATGCAGATTAAAAATCATCCTTTAGTGGCATTTATTAAGTCTGTATGATCTGGTTTCCAAAAAGGATTTAGAACAAACAATGAGTTATCGCCAAAACCAATGTGAGTGAGCAATGGACTCAAATTAGAAGAGATAAAATTAAATTTTCATGTCTCATAAATGAAATATCCATTAGGGACTTCTCAGATGACTTTCAGGTTTGGCAAATTTTGCCTTAAAACTTCCAACCTCAAAGATATGGGTGCTGGGCCAAATGACATGCATCTCAGGT